CCTTGACATTTGGGAGTTCTAGTTGCTGGGATTTATAGTTCACCTACAATCAAAGAGCATTCTGAACTCCACTAACGATGGAATTGAATGAAACTTGTCACACAGAACTCCCATGACCAACAGAAAATACTGGAATGGTTTGGCGGGCATTGACCTTGAGTTTGGGAGTTGTAATTCACCTACATTCAGAGAGCACTGTGGACTCAAACAATGATGGACCTGGACCAAACTTAGCAGAAATACTCAATATACCCAAAGGTGAACACTGGTAGAGTTTGGGGAAAACAGAGCTTGACATTTGGGAGTTCTAGTTGCTGGGATTTATAGTTCACTTACAATCAAAGAGTATTCTGAACCCCACCAACAAGAGAATTGGGCCAAACTTCCCACACAGGACCCCCCATGACCAAAAGAAAATACTTTATTTTCTGATGGTCTTTGGTGACCCCCCTGACACCCCCTTGCGACCTCCCCAGGGGTCCCAATCCCCAGGTTGAGAAATGCTGACAGAAAGGATCTGATCAGTAGAGTGGGAAGATGGTAGCTTTTTTGTTTCGTTGTTGTTTCTTTGGTCAGTTTATATATTTAAAACCTCTTTGTGTTCTGCATTTCTCTTGACCAAAGCACCTTCTTTAAAAAGGAAAAAGGTCTGAAAAGCAGAACTTGGGATGCTGCTTTATGGCAGCGGAAACCATATCGGGATCTCTGGATGCCACGTTTGGGGGGTTTGGGATCTAATTGCACGGGATATGGATGGTCCTGACCTCCAAGGGGCAATTGCAGAGGGAAAAAGCAGGATATAAATAATAATAATAATAGTAATTCCCATATCAGCAGCAATGGGTCCTAGTCTGGACCTTCCTTTCCTTCCGTATTACCCAACAATTAGATTATCTCCCCCCAAAACCTTTTAATAAAGGCTCGACAGGCTCTTTCTTTTGTTTGAACGATTACAACTGTTCTACACATCAGCTTTAAGTCTTTTCTCTCTCTGTTTCCCCCCCCCCCCCCAAGGTTGGCCATAAGCACGACTATTGGTTCATTCCCCGAGGGTTCTAGCTGCATCCTCCTCCGTCCGAGGGGCTTATCTGGTCCGGGAGAAGGGTCGCTGGTGGTGCCGAGCGGGATTCCCCTTCAGAGGCTTCTTCCTTGGGGCCCCTGATGCAAAAGAGAGGGGCTCAGGTCAGGAACTGGGTCGGGATTTGGGCAGGGCATATATCCCTTCCAGCCCCAAACCCCTCTCATGAGGTGGGATCAGACTCTGAGAGTTGGAAGGGGTCCCCTAAGGCCATCCAGTCCAACCCCCTTCCTGCCAAGCAGGAAGAAGCCATCCAATCCCTCCTGACAGACGGCCATCCAGCCATATATATGATTGGGTGAGATAATGATTGCGAGATATCTATGATAGATATATCCTTGAATCCTAGAGTCAGAAGAGACCCCCAAGTAAAACACCATTCTGTCATAAAGGAAGACACAATTTAATACCCCCCAGCAGATGGCCATCTGGAATCTGCTTAGAAACTTCCACTCTCTGCTTAATAGTAGCAGCAGCAATAATAATAATAATAATAATAAAGGATAGAATCTTTGAATTGTAAGCAAATCCAAGGGCCAATCAATCCAACCCCCTTCTGACATAAAGGAAGTCAAAATCTGATCCCTCCCAATAGATGGCCATCCAGTTTCTGCTTAATAGTAATGATGATCATGATGATAATAGTAATATACTTGAACCTATGGTTGGGATCCCTTTCAGTCCTAGAGTTGGAAGGGATCCCAAGGGCCACCCAGTCCAATCTCATTCTGCCATAAAGGAAGGCACCATCCGTTTCCTCCAGACAGATGGCTATCCGATCTCTGCTTAATAATAATAATAATCATAATATAAAACCATAGAATCCTAAAGTTGAGGGGTCCCCAAGGGTCATCCAATCCAATCCCATTCTGCCATAGGCGAAGCCACCATCTGATCCCTCCCAACAGATGTCCATCCAGCCTCTGCTTAGTAATCATAATCATAATATATAGAACCAGACAATCCTGAAGTTGGAAGAGTTGCCAAAGGTCATCCAGTCCAACCCCGTTCTAACATATAGGAAGGCAGCATCCAAACCCTTCTGACAAATAGCCATCAGACCTCTGCTTAATAATAATAATAATATAGAACCACAGAATCCTTGAATTATAAGGGATCCCAAGGAACATCTCATTCTACCATGCAGGAAGACATAATTCGATCCCTCCCAGTAGATGGACACCCAGCCTCTGCTTTATAGCAGCAGCAGCAACAACAACAACATAGAATTTTAGAGTTGGAAGGAATACCTAAAGGAAATCCAGTCCAGACCCCTTCTAGAAGGCAGAAAGTCACCATCCAATCCCTTCTGACAGATGGCTATCCTGCCTCTGCTTAAGAACAGTAGTAACAGCAGCAGCAGCAGCAACAATAGAAGAACCCTAAGGGACCCTAAGGGTCATCCAATCCAACCCCAGTTTTCTATGCAGGAAGGCACCTTTCGATCCCTCCCCACAGATGGCCATTCAGACTCTTAAAAACCTCCAGGGCAATATATTCCACTGCTGAACAGCTCTGACCCTCATGTTTAGGTGGAATTCAAACCCTGAGCTCCATTGTGTCCCAGTCTCTAGAGCAGCAGGAAACAGGTTTGTGGTACACATCCTTATTTTATGGATTGACGAGTGTTTTGGGGTTAGCTTTGCATTATCCAGCATAATACAATTCTTTTAAGGAACAACTACATTAATATTAAATTGTCAGCTCAGCCTAACAGTCCCACGTTCAAACTCCAAAGCAAATAGCAATGTAGATGGAAACCTGCTAGAAACGTAAATGGAAACTTAAATGTTTAAATGAAGAACCAACTTGATCAATTCATATAGGAGCATTTAAATCAATATTTCATTTGTTCACCAAACAAAACTAAAAGGGAGCCGAACCAAAGAAGAAAGGAAGGAAGGAAGGAAGGAAGGAAGGAAGGAAGGAAGGAAGGAAGGAAGGAAGGAAGGAAAGAAGGAGGGAGAAACGAGGGAAAGAAGAGATGGTGACATTTTCGTATCTCCCTAGAAGTAGATGCCAGCCTCAGAAAGATCCCATATTTGGGGAAAATATGAAAGACATGACTTCTACAGATATGCACATTGCAATGAAAACAAATAACACCAAGTTTAAAACGACCTCCTCTAAACTGCGATTGGAAGGTGAAATTTATAAAAGGAATCTGATTTAAGCGCTCTTCTGTTTCAGTACCGATCTGGCTTAAATTAGTCCACTCTCTTTAACATTGAGGGAACCTTAGAAGGTCACGGTTAAGAGCTGAGATATCAAGAGCCTGATATCCAGGGTTAAGAATAGTGCAAACAGCCCATATAAATAGTCACAAAGCTCTGAAATGAGGCGGATCTGAACTGGAAGGCGGCTAAAGGAGAAGGAAGGAGCGACTTCTGCAGCTTCAAGGATACGAAGAACCTGAAAAGGACACACTCCTTTGACCAGTGAAGGAACAAAGGCAGGGAAAACAACAACAACAACAACAACAACAACAAATTGGCTTATAGCTCAGAGTCACGTGATCTGTTTGGCAGAACAGTACATACTAGTATATATACCTAGCATTGCACTTCCTTTGCATGGCTGTTTCTTTCCTTCCTCCCCTTCTCTCATAACAAAATGCAAAATCCTCCCCAAGAGTGCCAAAGAATAGATTTTGAATTACTGTGAGTTTTCCGTGCTGTATGGCCATGTTCCAGAAGCATGTTGTATAATAATATAGTACAGTATGATAATATAATAATTGTATATTATATATTACATGCAATATTACCAATAATATTGCAGTACAGTGATATAGTACAATATAGTATATAATACTAATAATGTGTTGTTGAAGGCTTTCATGGCCGAAATCACTGGATTGCTGTGAGTTTTCAAGGTTGTATGGTCATGTTCCAGAAGCATCCTCTCCTGATGTTTCGCCTACATCTATGGCAAGCATCCTCAGAGGTTGCGAGGTCTGTCGGAAATTAGGCAAGGGGGGGGATTACATATCTGTGAATAATGTCCAGGGTGGGAGAAAGAACTCTTGTCTCTTTGAGACAGGTATGAATGTTGCAATTGGCCACCTTGATTAGCATTTAATGGCCTTGCAGCTTCAAAGCCTGTCTGTTTCCTGCCTGGGGGAATCCTTTGTTGGGATTTGCTGGCCCTGATTGTTTCTTGTCTGGAATTCCCCTGTTTTTGAGTCTTGTTGTTTATTTACTGTTCTTTATTTATCTCACCTCTACCATATTCAATGCAGCTGTGGACAAGCCTACATAAGGACCACCCAATGCAGCACTGTTCAAATACAAATCACAGAACATGAAAGGCACTGCAGACTAATTCAACTAGACTAATTCAACCAAAAAGAAAATTCAACCTGGCAGCCAGAAAAAGTTAAATAGCCGCTGACTGTTCGTCTATTGCTGTTGTGTGTCTTTGGCATTGAATGTTTGCCATATATGTGTACATTGTAATCCGCCCTGAGTCCCCTGCGGGGTGAGAAGGGTGGAATATAAATACTGTAAACAAATAATAAATAAACAAACAAGTCAGTCACAGCAGAGTACTTGATGAACCAACCCGGATACAGCATATTATGTGAGGACACAGAAATGACGGACCACTCTAACAACCACCATGTCAGACTACACAGAGAAGCCATTGAAATCCCCAAGCATGTGGACAATTTCAACAGAAAGGAGGAAACCACGAAAATGAACAAAATCTGGATACCAGTATTAAAAAAAATAGATTTTGAGCATTTTGCTTGGCTCAATACTGCTTGATGGGCTTTGATTTTTGTCATATTTTGTCATAGGCCAATGCAGCTCTTTTTTGGGAGCAAAGTACACTAGCATATATATATAGAGAGAACAACTGGGGACAGAGGGAGCCCTGTGATGCAGGTCTGCTGTCTAATTTTTCAGATAGAGGCATTTTTGCTTTCTGCTTGCATTACAAGGTGGCTTCGCCTTTCTTCTTTAGCTTGCTTTAGGGCCCTTTTGCTTGAGAAGGGAGCAGCTTGAGGATTCTCTCTTACCGACAGACCTGAGAGTCCTACCAAAGTGAGGCTGCTTTCCTTTCATTTCTCTACTCTTTTATCCAAGACACAACACAATAAAGCCCTAAACGGTTCTGGCCCAACTTATCTATCCGAACGTATCTCAGCCTATCAGCCCACCAGGACCCTAAGATCTTCCGGAGAGTCCCTTCTCTCTATCCCTCCAGCTTCAGAAGTGCGGCTGGCGGGAACGAGAGATAGGGCCTTCTCTGTGGTGGCCCCCCGGCTTTGGAACACCCTCCCTATAGAGGTACGATCAGCCTCTTCGCTGATGGTGTTTAGGAAGAGACTCAAAACATGGCTGTTCAAACAAGCATTCGGCTAATCTGTGGCAATTCGAATATTGATGACTAAGGACAGGAAACATGGACAACGAATTCTGGATTGCGATTTCAACTCGAGATATATGGGATTATTATTGGTGGCCCAATAATTTGTTATTGAATTTGTTATTATATGTGTATATGTTTTTAAATTGTAGATTGTTTTAACTGCTGTAAACCGCAATGAGTCGCCGTTCTAGGCTGAGATATTAGCGGTATACAAGTGTATCAAATAAATAAATAAATAAATAAATAAAACAATACAAGTAAGCATACCCTCATGAGAGCATCCTGTGTATTTCCTCTCTCGTTTCCTACCGTAAGCTCACATATGGCACCGGTTATACAGAATACTGCAATGAATGCCAAATATAGGCATCCCCCAAGTTATGAACAAAATGAGGCTCTGTAGGTTTGTTCTTAAGCTGAATATGTATGTAAGTCAGAACAGGGACATATTTAAGTGTACCTCCAGTCAAATATATCGTTTGGACAGCCTAGGGAAGGGTTAACACCTCTGTGGAGTTTCCTTTTCTGTCTGTGCCCATGTTCAGAAGATTTCCCCTCCTTTTCTGTCCCTTGGATAATTGGGTTTTGGAAAATGTGGCTTGTGGTGGAAACAAGAATTGGGGAGAAAGCTTCAGTGGAGACCCCTTTCCCCTATAATAATAACTCTTTCAGGAGTGGATTTCCCTTCCGAGAGGGAGATTTCTCTCACTTCCTCTTGTCTCAGTCCCGATCTGAGTTGCTTATAAGTCGGATGTTTGTAACTTGGGAACGGCCTGTATTCCTACTGCTGTTACCCCCGAATACAAAGCGTCAAAAGGGATGCTATCTCCAGAATCACAAGAAGTAATGGAGAAGAAAGTCCTTACCTGGGACCTTGTCCACTGAAGCGAAGACGGAGCGCTGGACGGCCTGGTCGCAGGCGCCTCGCCTGGCCTGGTCATAGAAGCGGAAGGGCAGGTGCTGGGCAGCCGAAGCAGAGCCGTGGCTAAAGCCCATAACTTCATTGGCCGGCTGGACTGGGAGGTCGAGGAGAGCTGAGTCCAAGGGAAAAACATTTTTACTCTATTTATTTATTTACCCTATTTATACTTCGCCTTTCTCTACCCCAAAAGTTACTCAAGGAGGCTTATTGTATAGGCGATTATTCAATGCCTTAAAACACATATAATTCCAGTAACTTTAAAATTAAATTAACATATATCAAGCATTTAAAACATTTAAAAACATTACACTCAATATAAATCACGCCATTCATAATCATAGTCCAAAGACGTTGCGTAATCATTCCACATATTCCAAATCTGTTATTGAGGAATCTGTTGGAAACTAGGCAAGTGGGGTTTATATATCTGTGAAATGTCCAGGGTGGGAGAAAGAACTCAATTGGTGGCAAGTGTGAATGTTGCAACTGACTACCTTGGTTAGTATTGAATAGCCTTGTAGCTTCAAGGCCTGGCTGCTTGAATAAATAAAATAGGTCTTGCAAAAATGATGTCCTCTCAAATCTCCTTTGCTGCAGCTTTCCTACACCAAGAGGATTGTGTAGGATTGTGTAGGATTGTGTGCTGCATTAAAGGAAATACCTTTGAGGGTTTAGCTACATAACCATTTTCAAACAAAACAATAACAAAAGAAATCAATAATAATAATAACAACAATATGTTATATATTATTGTTGTTGTTGTTGTTATTGTTATTATTTCTATGCCACTTTATCTCTCTAAAAAAAGCCCCAAAGTGGCTAACCATAAAAGCCATAGCTCAGCTCATGTCAAGGTGAGCGAGGGAAACATCTGCAGGAAAAGCAGCCACTTTGAAAGCTGGCTGGGAGAGATGACGACTTTCAGTGTCTTTTGTGTCCAATTGTTAAGTGTTTCAGGAAGCCACAAAACCGGATGAATGCATAGAATAGAGTTTGTTTGGAAGTAAACCCTCAAGTGAGAAGCATTCCTTGGAAAAGGCAATATATCAGTAGATAACGCCGGAGACTCAGCCACAAGGCAAGGGATGTGTCATGGACAGATGGCTTCCCCGGGAAATATTTTCCTGGGATGTTTCGTAGACACGCACACAGAGTTGCGCATATAAACGGAGGAGTTGCCATGGCTTTTTTGTAGACACTTATTGCACCACCCACTTCCTGTTTACAGACTCTGCTGCACTCTTTTGATGCGAGAGCTATCTGTCAATGAGTGACGCAAACGCAGTAAGAAAGGAAGTGGTTCTCCTTACCTGCGATTCTCTGCATCTTCATGCGTCGGGCCTGGATGCGGCCCTTGGCCAGGCGCTGCTTGGCGATGATGCAGCGGATGTGGTCCGAGAAGATGAAGGTGGCCTGGAGGATGGGGAAGGGCTTGGAGTGAGGGCTGGACGCCGGCTTGTGGATGACGATGTTCAGGGCCCGGCTGTCATCCTCCACTCCAGTCACTTGCATGTCCTGCAGCAAAAGGGAGAGGGACCGAGAAAAGAGAGATCCGGTGATCCACTGCTTTAGGGCAGCTCCGGTTCTGCATCATGTTTACCATCATCACTGGTTGAACATCCCTTAACCGAAAGGCCTAGGTTTCAAATCCCTTATCTAAAATGCCCGGGATCAGACTTTGTTTTGGATGCTGGAATATTTGTATATCCATCATGAGTACCCGGTGCAACTCCAGCCAAATATATATGTCTTTTAGCTTTGAATCACATAGGGAATAATGAAAGTGCAATAATAACAGTAATAATAGAGTAAAATAATAAGCGTAATAATATATTTGTAATAATAATAGAGTAAAATAATACATGTAATAAAAATAATAATAGAGTAAAATAATGTAAATGTAATAATAATAAAGAGAGTAAAAATAAATGTAATAATAATAATAATAATAAAGTAAAATAATAAATAACTTTGACTCACGTATAATCTGAGGGGGGCCTTTTCAGCCTAAAAAAGGGCTGAAAAACTTGGCTTATATTCAAATACATACAGTAAATTGGAACAGGTACTTGTTTTAAGTGACTTTGAAAGCATAGGGAAGGGTGAACACCCTGTGGTGTTTCCTTTGCTATCTGTGCCCCTGTTCAGATGATTTCATCCCACTTTCTGTTCCTGTGAGAACTGGATTTTGGAAAACGTGGCTTGTTGTGGAAACAAGGAATGAATATAAATCTTCAGTGGAGATCCCTTCTCCCCATGATAATAACTCTTTCAGGGGTAAATTTCCCTTCTGAGGGGTAGATTTCTCTTGATGTTTGTAACTTGGGGCAGCCCGTAGACACTGCCTTGATCCCTTGATGCTCACCTGGAGAAGGCCGGCGAACTTGACCACTCCCCACCCTAATCGGGCCACGTCCGGTTCCACCAGACTCATCTGGTAGATATCCACTGCCAGGAACCTCTGGGCCGGACCCCCGTCTTTGGTGATCACAGTGCAGGCAATTAAGTCACTGTTGTCTGGAAAGGAAAAACAGGAAGGAGGAAAAGATGAGTTGGATCTTGCAAAAGAATCATAGACTCCTAGGGTTGGAAGAGAGTCCAACTCCCTTCTGCCTTCATGCAGGAAAAGCACAAAACACCCCTGACAGAGGGCCATCTAGTTTCTGCTTAAATACCTCCAAAGAGGGAGCTTCCACTGGACTCTAGATAGAGAGTTCCACTGCTGAACAGATCTAAGTTCTTTCTAATGTTCAGGTAGAATCTCTTTCCTGCCAATTGAACCTATTGCTTCACTGAGTCCTGGTCTCCAGAAAAACAGAAAACAAGGCCTGCTTTCTCTTCCTTATGACATCCTTTCAGATATTGAAACATGGCTCTCATGTCTCCTCTCACAATTGTATTTCCTCAAATAAAATGTGTTCAAAGACTGCAACCTCACATTTTTGCCCTCAAGGTTTACAGCCTTTGGAGGCTTTTAAACAGAGGCTGGATGGCCATCTGTCGAAGGTGCTTTGAATGAGATTTTCCTGCTTCTTGGCAGGGGGTTGGATTGGATGGCCCACGAGGTTTCTTCCAACTCCATCATTCTATGCATGCATTTGATACAGTAGGTTGCATCCCCTCCATTGCCATTTGGGAAACAAACTCCAAACCTGAGCAAAAAACGTTCCTCATACTGGGACGAGTTCCTCATACTGAGACGAGTCTGCCTTAGCTTTCAATGTGTGTTAGTATTTGCCCTAGGTCTTTTAATATACCCGTATTTACTAGAGTCCAATGCACCATTGAATCTAATGTGCACCTCCTTTTTTTAAAACCCTGAAACCAAAAAAAAAAAAAAAAGAGGTTTTGCTGCACATATTTTTTTAAGACGAAGTGAAATAATTTAATTCCGTGTTAATGTCTGTATATTTTTAGGTTTTAAAAAATTGTATTGCATATTATTATTGATATTATTATTTGTATCCTACTTTGAGAGAGAGATAAAGCGGAATATAATGTGCAGATGCAAAGAGATCTTTGTCATTTAGCCACAAAAAAAAAAAGGTGTGCCTTGCAGTTTCTGCCAACCTAGAATGCCTTCTTTTAAAACAAAAGTGTTAAGACACCAAAGCTTCCAGCAATGGAAAGGAAAACCTTGGGACGGATCTATGCTGTAAAACAAATCTATTTAAATTGCCTTGGTTCAATGCTATGGAGTCGTGGGGGATGTAATTTTGCATGGTCTTAAGTCTTCTCTTCTAAACAACAAATCCCAGCATTCTATAGCATTGAGTCATTAAATGAGAGGAGGTCCCTTAAAGAGGAGCTCGTGCATCAGCTTCCCCTTTGGCTTTGGCTCAGCATTGAGATTACTGTATGATGTGAATTACTGGAGACCCCGGTGGCACAGTGGATTAAACTGCTGAGCTGCTGAACTTGCTGATTGAAAGGTTGCAGATTCGAATCCGGGGAGAGGGGTGAGCTCCTGCTGTTAGCTCCAGCTTCTGCCCAACCTAGCAGTTCGAAAACATACAAATGTGAGTAGATCAATAGGTACTACTCCAGCGGGAAGGTAATGGCGCTCCATGCAATCATGTCGGCCACATGATCTTGGAGGTGTCTACAGACAATGCCGGCTCTTTAGCTTAGAAATGGAGATGAGCACCAACCCCCAGAGTCAGACATGGCTGGACTTCATGTCAGGGGAAAACCTTTACCTTTACCTATGATGCGAATTTAATGCACACCCTAATTTTGGCAGAGTAATTTAGCCAAAAAAGGTTTGCATGAATAGTGTAAGTATTTTAACCACCTTATGTTTCACCTCTGTATTTTAATTGTATGCCGCATTATCACTGGGTGTCTGCGCCCTACACCACTGGAGAAATCACACTGTTTAGCCGGTATTGCACCACCTGACATCCGCCGGGAAGTAGCAACCAATAGTGAAAGGACCAAGGCAGTGACATCTCCAGCTCATCCCGTTTGGATAACAGCCAGCACATCAATGACTTAAATCAAGAAATAGTTTCCTAAGATCTACAGAGACACTCGCTGGAACACCTCAGCAAGCAAGAATCCAAAAGTGGCAGGCTCAAACCCAGAACTTCAATCAATGGCTGATACCAAATGAGAGACTCCCTCCTGGGCACACAGAAAACTGGGCAACTTGGAAGGTGCTGAACAGACTGCGCTCTGGCACCACGAGATGCAGAGCCAACCTTAAGAAATGGGGCTACAAAGTGGAATCCACGACATGCGAGTGTGGAGAAGAGCAAACCACAGACCACCTGCTGCAATGCAACCTGACCCCAATGCACAATGGAGGACCTTCTTGTGGCAACACTAGAGGCACTACAAGTGGCCAGACACTGGTCAAAGGACATTTATTCAACTATCAAGCTTGCAAACTTTGTGTTCTGTTTGTTTGCTTGTTAAAAAATGCAATACAATTTGTTTGGTCTGCCCCTGACACAATAAATAAATTTTAATTGTGCTGTACTCCACATTGAGCCACAAGGAGAGGAGGATAAAAAATAAAATAATAATTATTATCATCATCTGCTGCTTTTCTCTCCCCCATGCAGCCTTTTATCATTCTAATGTGACATGTATGAAAGGCCTAAATGAACCAAAGGCACACAATCCCATCTGATATAAACAAGGTCAGTACAAGACACCCAAAGCTATTGGCGAGGAAATGCATTCAAAAACACGCAGCCAAATAGGGAGTAGAGTCCTTTTGGCGTTGGAATGGCTTCCCTGCCTCCGCCATAAGGTACTGAATGTGATGGGTGTAGATCTATGGGAGAAATCTTGGTCAGAGAACACGGCCAGACTATAAATAATGTGGATTTCCAGGAATAATTTGGATTTCCTCTGCTGTTATAATCGTTGCGATGGCAAACGGGGCTCTGACAAGGCACAACAGACAACCAGCGGACATAGAAATGGACTTTAATGCATGACGCTCAATGCTCAATGGCGACAGGTCTATGAAACGGGAGGCAGTTCCAGGAATAAGCATTAAACCCCATCAATGAGCATTAACTGAAGAAAAAGCAATGAGGGCCAGGTACCGATCAATCAATCAATAGGCAGGAAACGACACCGTTCCAGTTGAAAGACGGAAAAAAAGAGAAAACGTTACAATTGGATTTGCTTGAAGAACATCCATCTAAAAGACTTGACGGAGACAGCGTAATCGCATTTCCAGTCAGTTTACTGAGCGCTGGGCTCACAATCCTGCCTCTGAAAGCAGTATCTGGTGAGGATTGAGACTGAGATACACTCAGAGAGAGACACAGTTAATAGAATATAATAACAAGACTATTTAATCCTTAATAGAAGGCATTTCCCAAAAGGAAGGCCCAAATATGCCTTCAACGGGTCGGCTTTGGCTGGATCCTTAAAGTGACAGGAAGCCTCTTCCTTTGGCTGACCTTCATTTGGAGGCTGATTTCCTGCCCCTGGGAATCCAAATGTATTTACAGTCAATGGTGACTGAGTCACTTTTTCTGGCCAGGATTTTATTCCCATAGATTGAAACCCATCACCTTTGAATGTGAGTCAAAGTAAAGGCAAGAGAATCCGCATTCTGGCTTTCACTAGACTTAATTTTCATTGGATCCACTTACCATGAGAATGAGGCCTAGACGCTGCTATTTTCATGCCTCTTGCTTACAGTGTGTTGCAGGCAAGCCATTCCAAGTCAAAAGGGTCTCTAATACATATATGGCAGAGTACTGACTATGGTTCTGATCAAAGGCAGAGAAAGAATTATCGGAGGCTACAGACAATGCCATTGCTGTTGCCCATTTTTGGTCAAAAGATATTTAG